CAACAGCACAGTAGCCCTATAGCCATCTAGCCCTCTAGCCCGATAGCCCCATAGCCCTATAGCCCTACAGCCCCACAGACCCAAAAAAGATTATGATTAGCGCTTCTCTCAGGTATCATACGGTTAGGTTCGCTGCGCCGCTGATTTTGGCGGCCCGCCTGGGTGCCCGGGTGCCCGGGTGCCCAGGAGCTGCGTCGCCGATTTCGGCGACCCGCCTGGGTGCCCGGGTGCCCCATAGCCCATTAGCCCTATAGCCCTCTAGCCCTGCAGCCCTACAGCCCTATAGCCCTGTAGCCCTATAGCCCAATAGCCCTGCAGCCCTAAAGCCCTAAAGCCCCATAGCCCTATAGCCCTCTAGCCCTCTAGCCCTCTAGCCCTCTAGCGCACTAGCCCTCTAGCCCTCTAGCCCTCTAGCCCTCTAGCCCTCTAGCCCTCTAGCCCTATGGCCCTAGCACTATAGCCCAACAGCACAATAGCCCTATAGCCCTATAGCCATCTAGCCCTCTAGCCCTACAGCCCCATAGCCCTAATTATGGCCCTACAGCCCCACAGCCCCAATAAAGATTCTGATTAAGGCTTCTCTCCAGTATCATATGATTCAATTAGCTGTGCCCCCCGCACGGGTGCCCGGGTGCCCTGGCGCCCCAAGGCCCTATGACCCTAAAGCCCGACAGCCCTATCGCCCTATAGCCTTACAGCCCTATAGCCCTACAGCCCTGCAGCCCTATAGCCCTGTAGCCTTACAGCCCTGTAGCCCTCTAGCCCTCTAGCCCTCTAGCCCTCTAGCCCTCTAGCCCTCTTGCGCTCTAGCCCTCTAGCCATCTAGCCCTCTAGCCCTCTAGCCCTCTAGCCCTATAGCCCTCAAGCGTTATAGCCCAGTAACCCTATAGCCCTATAGCCCTATAGCCCTATAGCCCCATAGCCCTCTAGCCCTATAGCCATAGCCCCAGACCTATAGCCCAACAGCCCAATCCCTACAGCCCTCTAGTCCTCTAGCCCTCTAGCCCTATAGCCCCATAGCCCCATAGCCCCATAGACCTATAGCCCCAGAGCCCAAAAAAAGATTCCGATTGGGGCTTCCCTGCTGTATCATACGGTAGGGTAGCTGCGCCGCCGATTTTGGCGGCCCGCCCGGGTGCCCAGGTGCCCGGGAGCTGCGTCGCCGATTTCGGCGGCCCGCCCGGGTGCCCGGGTGCCCGGGTGCCCCATGGCCCTATAGCCATATAGCCATATAGCCCTATGGCCCTATAGCCCTATGGCCCTATAATCCTATAGCCCAATAACCCAATAACCCTACAGCCCTCCCCTCTAGCCCTCTAGCCCTCTAGCCCTCTAGCCCTCTAGCATTCTAGGCCTATAGCCCTATAGCCCTATCGCTTTCTATCCCCAATACCCCAACAGCCCTATAGCCCTATAGACCTCTAGCCCTATAGCCTTAGCCCTATAGCCCAACAGCACAGTAGCCCTATAGCAATCTAGCCCACTGGCCATATAGCCCCATAGCCCCATAGCCCTACAGCCCTACAGCCCCACAGACCCAAAAAAGATTACGATTAGGGCTTCTCTCCAGTATCATACGGTTAGGTTCGCTGCGCCGCCGATTTTGGCGGCCCGCCTGGGTGCCCGACTGGGCGCCCCGGTGCTCGGGTGCCCAGATGCCCGGGTGCCCAGATGCCCCATAGCCCTGTAGCCCTCTAGCCCTACAGCCCTACAGCCCTATAGCCCTATAGCCCTATAGCCCTATAGCCCAATAGCCCAATAACCCTACAGCCCTATAGCCCTGTAGCCCTATAGCCCTCTAGCCCTATAGCCCTCCCGCCCTCCAGCCCTCTAGCCCTCTAGCCCTCTAGCCCTCTAGCCCTCTAGCCATCTAGCCCTCTAGCCCTCTAGCCCTATAGCCCTATAGCCCTATAGCCCTGTAGCCCTATAGACCTATAGCCTTTTAGTCCAATCACCCTATAGCCCTATAGCCCCACAGCCAACTAGCCCTCTAGCCCTAGAGCTGTATAGCCCCACGGCCCCAAAAAAGATGATGGTTGGGGTTTCTCTCCGGTCTCATTGTGTGTACGTGATTTTTCGCTCCCCTGGATTGGCTGCCGCCCTTTCACGGATATGACAGCCCAACATGACTAGAAACCCGTGTCGGCCCGCACGCAGATCCGTAGGGTCAGGGTCCAAAAACAGAAGGGATTTGCCTCATGTCTGAAATTCGGCGGCACCCCTCACGCAGATCGGCAGGGTCAGGGTCCAAAAACAAATAGGTCCCAACACTGGTTCACGGCAAAGCCAAAGCCTCATGACTTCGCTCTTCCATGGCCCATTGTCCGAGAGAGGGGGCCGGCGGCAGGGGGCGAAGCCCTTGCGGATAGAAACTCGTGTCGGCCAGCACAACATTCACGATCGCGCCTCGCCCTCGCACCTCCCCTGGACTCCTCGCCTCGCCCCGGGGGGTCCGGCGGGCGGACTCGGATGTGAGGAAGACGGGCAGGAAGAGGAAGAAGGGGGAGAGGAGAGAGGAGGGAGGAAGGAGGGAGGAAGGAGGGAGGAAGGAGGGAGGAAGGAGGCGGAGGTGCGGCGGAGGAGAAAGGCGGAAAGGAGAAGGAGCGGCGGAGGAGGGAGGGGAGGAGGGGGGAAAGGAGAAGGAGCGGCGGAGGAGGAAGGAGGAGGGAAGGGAGGGGTGGAAGGAGGAGGAGGGGGGAAATGGAGGAGGGGAGGGCGGAGGAGGAAGAAGGAAAGGAAGCACCAAAAGTTGTCTCGGATCTGGCAAATCTGAACATATCGTGCCGTATTTGGCCTTCCGAAGAGCGGAATCCCACTCTGGACCCCCCCCTCTCGTCCTGCTCTTCGTGTTCCTCCTGCTCGTTATCTTCCTTCTCCCCCCGTTCCACGCATCCTGGCACATCAGCGCACTGTCACCCAGACCATGCCTGGCATGGTTGTCTTCGGCGGCGCCGTTATCTCACAAGTCGCCCTGGAGAGCAGCGTACCCAACTGTATCGGATGCGTCGCCACCGAGCAGCTCTCTCGGTGCCTCTACCGACGCAACCACAAAGCCATGGGGGGAGGCAGTACGCTGCTGCCTCACGGCAGGAGCGTCCTGCCAACCTCCGCAGCCATACCGTCCCTCGGGCAAGGGGGGGCCGCCGACGCAGGAAGGCCGCCCTGGACGCGTCGGACGTCTGGCGGATGGCCCCGACGGCAAGACGAACCTCAGCGACGCGAACTCGGCCGCACGCGGGCGTGGCCCTGGGCAGGAGTGACCTCAGGTAAGCGCGCGGACAGTTTTTGGCCTGCGGGGCGAGAGCGAACCTCTTCCGGTAAAAGCTAGGCGGGCTACGCACTGCTCTAATTGGGGAGACAGGGCGCAGGCGGGCGGGGCCTCAGGCGGCCAGAGGGCGGGCCGGGGTGCAGGCGGTATAGGTGCGCGCGGACAAAGAACTGCAGAGCACAATTTCCTCAGTTGCCTCAGTTGCTTTGCATAAGCGTTCCAATGCTGAGGGAGGTGGAGGGGGCTCGCCTCGGGGCCACCGGCCCCGCTGGCCGGTCAGCCCCGTCGATAGCCCCTCCTGGGAAGTGTTCTGCGAGTCCGTACAGGGCAGTTTTTGATATATATAGGATGTTTGTTTGCTTTTTATAGAAAAAACACTTAGTTTGTGAATACATCAATGCGTAAACTCATCCTTGTATGTATAAATCAACCCCTTATTCTTAATACATGGTCCGCACGCGGAGCATGTGTTTAAAACGGCACTGAAGGCCGAGTCGAAATTTCTCTCGCCACCTCCCGAATGATGGGCCCCGAGCGTTCGCGACGGCCGCCAAGGGCGCAGGCGCCCGGTCGACGACCACGAAGGGCCCCAAAAGAGCTCATACTCCTCCAACGCGCAGGGGGCGAAAAAACACCCCGGGCCCCGTGGAGGCCAGACTTTTTGGTCGGCGGGGCGAGAGCGAACCTCTTCCGCTAAAAGCTCGGCGGGCTACGCGCAGCTTTAATTAGGGAGACAGGGCACAGGAATGGGGGGCCAGACAAAGTATTCGCGCAAAACCTTCGTATCAAAGTTTCGGGGTGTCGGTCGGCCCGGTGGGCCCTGCCCGATCGCGCCCTCGGGGGTCGCCGACCAGGCTGGGCGGGCGCTCGCGACGCCAAGATGGCCGACGTGCGACGCAAAACCCAGTCGGTCAGTTGTTCTCGAATGGGCCCTGGCAAAAACACATGAAATAAGTTTGTTCTGACTCCGATATGTCCCTTCGCAGCCGCGGGGGGAGGCCATATCCACACAACCCAAGCGTGTCAGCCAGTGTTGGCGGGACGTGGGCCCACACCAAAGGTCACTCCAGCGAAGGTCGCCCTTACGCGTAGCCGATTCTGCCTCGGGAGAGCGATCTGCGTCTGGCTGGCCAGCCCAGCCTTCCACGAAGCCCTCCTGCATGAACTGCGTCCCAAACCCCACTGCCGGGACACGGCTACCCGTCCGACCGACCCCGAGGACCAAGACCGAGAAGGCTGGCCCAAGCAGCACTGTTTATGCAGCCCGTCCTACGGTCTTCACCGATTAGCCCCTGGCAACCGCACCTGTGCTCATGTTCGCGAGACCGTTCACGAACTACGGCGACGACGACGACGACGACGACGACGACGTCGAGCCACCCCAACAGCCCGACCCTACTGCCCTGCGACGCCCGGGCGTCCAACCCCCGCACCCACCCTCGGGTGCTCCGCGAGACCTGGCGTGGCTCTGGTACGTACCGCTGGGGAGGCTGGCCAGGATGAGCAGGGAGAGAAGCAAGTGGGGAAGGAAAGGGAGAAAAAGAGAGAGAGAGCGAGAGAGGGAGAGAGAGGAAAAGAGGTATGGGAGGAGACGGAGAGAGGCAGACAGGGAAAGAGAGGATGAGCAGAGAGAGGAGCAAGTCGGGGAGAAAAGATAACAAGAACAAAGAAGAGAGGAGGAGGAGGAGGAGGAGGAGGAGGAGGAGGAGGAGGAGAACGACGACGACGCCGCAGAAGAGAAGGACAGGGAGGACAAAATCATTCAAGCGCCCACCTACCTTGCCTGAGCTCGCCCGGGCAGCGCGCTCGAGAGCGAGCATCGGAGCGGCGGTCAACTCACTAGTATGTATTTGACCTGTTTGCTATCGGCTATAAAAACTTGCCCAGCGATATCCAAAATTAAACGGGGGCGCGGTCCAATCACTTAGATTCGGCGGCAAACTTGAAGCCCTTCTCTGCCTGCGCGACCAGATCCGGCATCATGTCGCTGATGAGCTTCTTCTCGTAGTCGCTCACGGTGCCGTAGGAATGAACGGTCTCGACTCCCTCCTTCCCAAGAGTCACTGGCAGCGCGAAGAACTTGGCCTCAGGAACCACGGACTGCTCCACGAAAGTGCACTCGACAACGCCCTTCTCACCTGGAGCGAAGGGAAACGAAGACACTGGCCGAGACCGAATGTGGAAACGTCCGTGACGATCTTGCTCATCGTCCGTCCTGGCCCTTGTCGATGATTAGCTCACCATCGCGCATCGGCGACGACCGGCACGGACCCCATACCCAAGATCGGCGCTGGCAAGATTCCACGACACGTTGGTCGTCCTCCTCCTCCTCCTCATTCGGTCGTCCTCCTCCTCCCTCCTCCTCCCTCCTCCTCCCTCCTCCTCCCTCCTCCTCCCTCCTCCTCCCCCTCCTCCCCCTCCTCCTTCTCCTCCTCCTCCTCCTCCTCCTCCTCCAAGCGCCTCGGCACAGGCGCTTTACATACCTCCCGTTACTGAAATGTAGCCTACCACATCTCAGGCGCTGATGATAGACACTATATCTCTCACTCTTGGTTCTCCCTGAGGTCACAGCATCCACTGTCTCTAAGCGGCTAGCCGGCCATCGCAGTGACAGAGCACATGCAGAGCTTGTCCTTCTTGCAATTCAATCCTCAGTCTGCCTCAACCTCGGACAGACTCATAGACATCGCTGAGCAGGTGGCAAACATGGACTTTGTCTCTCTCACTGGCATGGGCGGCAAGAGGTATGGGGAGCAGGTGGTATGGAGGAAGGCGGGAGACAGGTGGATGGTGGAGGCAGGCTGGACGAGAGGACCTTTTACTAATAAATCGGCGGGTTGCGGTATCTTGCTAGGTAAAAGGATTTCGCGCAGGTCTGTTACGCATGTGTGGAGTGCACCTACTACGCTATCAGGACGTGGGCTTGCAATCCGAGCCAGAACTAGACACTACGACGTCGCCTTCATTAGCCTGTACTTCCCGCCTGTCCCCAGCTACTCCCGCCAGATGACGGCATACTACAAAACATGCGACGCACTCATCGCTTGGGTCCGCAAGCTGCCTATATGGAGCTCTCATAGGTGCATGCCCGTGCTGTGCGCAGACGTAAACTCGGGGTTTGGTCTCCAACGTCTTCCAGGTACCGACGAATGGACTCGGATTACGCATCCCTCCATTGGTAATGCTGCCCCTTATGTTAAGCAGAAATATTCGGCTGACGTGGTGTTGAAGATGATTCGGGACTATGACCTAGTAGCGGTGAACACTCATAGAGGTGCTGGTCCGACCTACTACGGCAACGCAAGCAACCCCTCCCAACTCGACTTCGTGTTTGCCCCTAGATGTTGTCTGCCACGGATTACTTCGGTGGGTCCCCTTCGGCGAATGGCACGCAGGTTACAACTGGCAACCACTAAGGATCCACGTGACTATGTTCCAGTGCATGTACGCATTAAGTATAGCCTAGCCGACATACTGTGCCTACCGTCGAAAATCCCGACACAAAAACGCCTAGGACTGGTCCCCAATCGGTATCGCTGGAATAGGGAAGCTATGGGTGATGCACTTCGCAATGGAGCCAACCGAGCTGAATTCCTCCAGGCAGTTGAGGCCAGGCTACGACAGGACGAGGAGGAGATAAAGGAAGTCCGCAGCACCGAGCAAACGCCGAATGCAGAATGGGGCTATTTCATCGACGCAGTGGGCAAGGAAGCTTCCAAGTTCTTCACGGCTGATCCAGAGTACTCCCCAGGATACCGCAACCGGGCCGAGGAGGTGAAGGGTCTATTGCGGGAGAGGAGGGACATGAGGGAGCGGCTGGGGGAGGAGAGGCGGGTGGATTGCTGTCTGACCAGGGTCGCAACTGGCAAAATTTTGTCTTACAGCGGTTTGGGGGAGGAGGAGCAGGTGCAGCAGCTTAAGGAGGAACTACGGCGACGAAGCAAGCAGCTCAGGCAGCTACGAAGACGGTATGTGGCCCTATGGAGACGAGATGTGACGAACGACCTCCTGGAAGCACAGAATAGGGGCTGGCAGGGCGAGGTTGCCAGGTTATCGCGGCTGCTCTCTGGTCGTGGCACTGGCCCGCGCAAGCGGAACTACAAGCGAGCCGTGGAGGCGCGGCCGACGGCCGCAGACCTGCATGCCCGCTTCCAGCTGTCTTCGGGAGAGGGGGGGATGGAGGCAGAGATCGTGGACTGGCCGAACATGATCGACGAATACATTTACCACCCCGAGCACGGCCTCGAGACCTCGGAAATTCTTTCCCCGTGGACCCGTGAGGGCCTCGACTGGTCCAAAACCAAGCTGCAGCTCATAGGCCAATACCTGAGACGAGCTGCCAAGCGCCGAATGTCGCCACCCTGGTCCCTGCCAATTGAGGTTTTTGGGATGCTGCTTCATCCTTACAGGCGCACATCTCGTAGGTATCGCGGTCTTGGGTATCAGGCACCAGAGCTAGACCTCAAGCACCTGCGGTTCTTCCTGAAGGCCCTTGTTCACAAGATTTATCGCACCAGCCAGCCCCCTGCTGTATGGAGCTTGTCTATGGGGGTTGCGACTACCTGGAAGCGTGTCATCCATGTGTTATGCCCCTTTGGCAAAGCCTTTATCGCTACCAGTCTGGACCCAGCCGAGCAAATCAATGAACCTGAGTTTGCGCACGGGTGTGTACCCCGACGGCGGCGTGAGACAGCCACGATGATTCAACAGTCGGTCGGCTGGCGATTGCGACGCCTGGGAAACAGGCACATCACGGATCACAAGGACATGTCGAATGCGTTTGGTAGTAGTTCCAGGCAGGCTATTCTTGGGGCCAACCAGAGCATCATGAAAGACGGGGAGGGGCGATTCGGAGCACAGAGACTGCACCTTTCGACTGTCTGTTTCGTAAGCACGAACGTGATTTTCTTCGCAAAGCCGACGGCGGGGGCACTGCAAGGAGACCCATGGGCCGTGAAGGTTTTGATTCGGGACATCGGCACTGTTTTCCAACGGGCCCAGGAGGATTTCCAGGAGTCGGGGGAGCTCACGGCTAAGTGGTGCACGGCGGTCATCCCGAATGACCAGGAGGACCAGGAGGATATCACCCTCGACCTCTCTTCCCACGCGCATGTCGATGACGCGGCCAAAAAAATAGTGGTTATGGGACCTGGGAGGTTAGAAGAAGCACTCAGCAAGCAATCACTGGCGTATGATAGTATCCTCGCGGGCCGATTACAGCAGCATAATTATCAGCTCAACACATGCAAAAATGAAACAGTACTCGCCCTGTTTGGAGAAGGTTCTCAACTGTGTCGTAGGCGTGGTCGTGAAGGGGCTGTGCGGCTAGCTGGTACACCGAATGATTACGTTAAATATTTAGGGGGTCTTGTTCGAGGAGATGGCACCTTCAACTCGGAGCTAGGTAGTAGATTATATGCCATCGACGCTGGATTTCACAGCATGGGGCGCTTCTGGTACCAGGCGAGGGTCCCCTTTGTAGAACGACGAGCGGTCTTTCTCAGCAGAGTATTGGGGTCGGCCATGTCTGGGGTTGAAGCATTCCTACCCACGGATGACCAAATTTCAAAATTACAAAGTAGGGTCATCATGCACGCCCGTAGGGCCATGAGGGGTCTCGCTACTAAGGAGGTCAACGGCCACAAGGTATCGATTAGTAACGCTGAGGTGCGCAGGTACTGGCAGATGGCACCACTCGAAATTGAACTCCGAGCCAGGCGCATCAAGTGGTACCAAAGATGGGTGCGCCACCCAGACCGACACCTGTCTGAATGGGCTGCGCTCTTTGGCACAATGCAGATAGAGCAAGAGCACGGATTGCAGATTGTTGGTTCGGACTCACAGCTTACTTCAGCGGCGTGTCCTTGGGCCAAACGGGCAACGCAGGATATTATCTCACTCGCTGACCTCGGCGACGAAGAGCATGAACATTTAGCAGACTTCAATGCTAGCCCCTTGCAGTTGTTCCAGGATCCGACCCTAGTTGAGTGGTTTTCTGGCTATGACACGAAGAAGATACGAGCACATTGGTTAAGTGTAGATATCCCACCCCCTGAGTTCCACTTGCCTGAGGACCGCCGCCCCCCCGATCCTGGAGGCGTCGAACCCCTGCTGTAGTGCCCTGCCTCAGGTTGTCCACGACGATTTCACACAAACCGACAACTACTTGTGCATATACACAGGCACCATGCATTTAAATCCATCCTGGGCCTCACTGTCACGTCCAATGTCTGCTTTGTCTGCGAGAGCGCATTTGGAAGTCGCAACTCCGTGTACAAACACTTGATTTCCTCTTACGAGACAGGGATCTGCGTGACAAACCGAAGTACGACATTTCGAGCTCTAGCCAAACAGAACAAGCTTGAATGCCCGCTATGTATGGCCCAAGCATCGGACTCTGCAGGTCTGCGTGCACATCTTCGCGCCCATTTTCGCCACCTCCCCGCGCTGGACCATGCCGGAAGGAGCCCAGCCAGCAGCGGCGTCTACGCAGCAGGAGGTGGAGCTGGAGCGCCCAGCGTGGATGCTTGCAGGAATTGGAGGCAAGCGCAAGGAGGACGACGGCAGCCAGAGCCAGCAGGGCAAGCGCCCCAGACTGGCGCGCCAGATCGAGAAGAACAGCAACGAGCACAAGATGGGCCGCTTCATGGCGCTGATGGCCATACTGACCAAGCTCAGTCTCTCGAACGCCAGAGAGCTCGCAGAGTGCTTTCTGCTTCCAGAAAGCGCACCGCTCATCAAGCAGATGCAAGAGTCGGGCAAGGCCTACGCCAAGGACTGCAAGGAGAAGGGGAAGGACCACGGGAACGGCCCGCCGTGGCCGCACGTCTTCCTCGGCCTCCTCCACCACTTCATCACGCAGGACGGGATGGACCCCATGGCATTCAAGGTGATGAAGACATACTGGAAGTACGTGACGAAGCTTCCCAAGGAGGAGGCACTGACCCACCTCCAAGAACAGATTCGGTTTCTCAGGGTGAAGGCGTACTGGTACGATCGCAAGAAAGGAGACAAACCGACCAGGTTCAAACTTCAGTTCATGATGAGCCCCAATGCGCAGGCCAACCCGATCAAGGACGGCGACTCGCAGGAGACCATCCTCCCCCTGCACCAGGCGATGTGCAGGGCCATCCAGCACGAGGGGGGGGAGTACCGCGCGGGCGGAGCACCTCGCGGAGCGCTGGAGCGCGAGGCGGAGCGGCTGATGAAGCAGCTCGGACTGCAGGACGACAGGACGGCGGAGGAGAAGAAGGTGGGATCCTACAGCGACAAAGAGTTTTGAGCTTGCCGCCCCTCAAGCTCATCGAAGTCAACGGCTCTGAAAGGATGGCCGAAATGGTTTATAGTGGCAGGCTCTTCGGCAGTGCATTATTCAGATTGCAGCAGAAATACTCACATCCCATTCTAAGATATTCCAACGGGCAGCGAAGCATCTTGCTGCACCAGGGCGACACGGAGGACCCTCCCTTCTCTATTTCAATGAATGAATTCTATCAGCGTAGCATGCAGGTCCGCAGTATGCAGGTGAATGTGCAGACTGTTCCACTTCAGCCAACCCCCAGTGTCTCCAGCAGGTTCTTGCATCCCAACCCTGACGGCTGACGACCAGCGGTTCGTTATTGGGCCCTGCTTCCACCTCCAGATGTACATTGAAGATTGAGTTGCAAGTGAGCGGCGTTGCGACCTTGCTCGCTTCCCCCTTCCCTGTCCCCGCCCTCTGCTTCTTTGCCCCGCCCCCTCTTTTCAGGAAGGATGGTGCCGCGGGCGGGCAGCTTGGTCTCCCCTGATAGCTGTCCCGCTGTCGGCCAGTGAAGGCCGTCCTTCAGCGGTAGCCGCTGGTAGGCGATTGCATCGCAGCCGAGAGCCTTTCGATGTCGTGCTGGCCCCCGCTCCTTTGTTCGTTCTCCTCCTCGCGGCCCTCGGCCCTTCGGCTTGCCCTCGGTCCTCCGTCGGTCCTGCCTGGGGTCCCCTGGCCCGCTCGCCGCTCTCGCTTCGTCGGTGGCCCCTCGTGAATCCCACTTTGTGGGCTTTTGTAAGCAGGCGCCTCACAAGCATCAGCTTCAGCTGGCACAGACTATGGCTCGCAACGGTTCTTGTCTTATCTTGTCCTCCTCCTCCTCCTCCTCCTCCTCCTCCTCCTCCTCCTCCTCCTCCTCCTCCTCCTCCTCCTCCATTGGCCGTGGTCATGGTGCGTCCCCCCTCGATCGCCAGACAGTCCGGCCATGACCCTGTCGGCAAAGTCGGCCCCGGTGTAGGCCATCGAGAGGGTGGCGGAGCCGCCGCCTGCCTTGGCCTTCACGACCTCGGCGGGGCGACGGGGGGGGCAGAGGATTTGGACGCCCGAAATGGGCACGGAAAGAATGGGTACAATGCCCAACAACAAGTGTTGTCCCAAACCATCAGCGGCCGCTGTTGGGCAGGCGGCGTTCTGTCTCGAGTGGACACAGGCCGCGGCGGCGTGGACAGCGAGTCCTGTTCAAAATGAGCAGGATCCGCTGTTGGGCATTGTACACATTCTTTCGGCGGTGGACAAACCTCCCTTCAGCAAGCCTCCCCTTGGCGAAAACGGCCTGGGACCGAAACTGACGGACCCGGACCCGCAAAAACGACGGCCGCGGCGCCCCCTCGCGAACCGAAAACGGCCAATTCCTTAAATCGACGCGTCAGGGTAGGAGGTCTGTCCACCCCCGATTCTTTCCGTGCCCGTTTCGTTCGTGCAGAGAGGAGCACAGGGCGGGCAGGGAGGCCCAGGGAGGAGCGGAGGCCGAGGAGGGCAGAGCCAGGCCGACCGCACGCTGCGCTGGCCCCGCCGTGGTTCGCGCTCCGCGGGGCCACCAAGTCTCGGGGATGGACAGACCTTCCTCTAGCAAAACGCGGCTTAGCGAACACGACCTCGGGCCCACACCTGGCGGGCGCGAGCATGGAAAAGAACGGCCGCGGCGCCCTCTCGAGAACCGAGAACGGAGAATTCCTTACTCGACGTGTCAGGGTAGCAGGTCTGTCCACCCACGAGTCTTCCCGTGCCCATGTCGCTCGTGCAGAGAGGAGCACGGGGCGGGCAGGGGAGGCCCGGGGAGGAGCGGAAGGCCGAGGAGGGAAGAGCCGGGCCGACCGCACGCTGCGCGGGCCCCCCGCCGCGGTTCGCGCTCCGCGGAAGCGGAAGCGGAAGCGGAAACGCACCCCAAACAGTCTGAGACTGGCCCCAATTCAGGGGGGGGCGGTACGCTACGTGCAGGCAGGCGGGCCCGCCTACGGCAGCTGGCAAAACAAGTAAATATCAGACATGTGGCGCTCCGCGGGGCCGCCAAAGTCTCGGGGATGGACAGACCTCCCTTTCGTAAAGCGTTTTTTTTATTCGCGGGTCGAGAGCACACCTCTTCTGGTCGAAGCTAAGCGGGCCGCGCGAAGCTTGAATTAACAACGAGAGGGGGGGAAGGGAAGGAGCGCAGCCTCACACCCTTTAGCAAGACGTGGCTTAGCGAAAACGACCTCGGGCCCAGACCTGGCGGGCGCAAGCCTGGAAAACAACGGCCGCGGCGCCCTCTCGAGAACCGAACACGGACAATTCACTGAATCGACGCGTCAGGGCAGGAGGTCTGTCCACCCCCGAGAGTCCTGGCGAGGTGCACAGCGCTCGCGCCGCCGAGGAGCGCTGCCCGCTCGCAGATCCTGCGCAAGAGATGCGCCTCCCGAGGCGGGACCCCTCGAGGCTCACGCGCTCATTCGCGCCCCCGAGGCCACGAGCCCTCGGGGAGTGCGCCGTGCTCGCGCTCTCGAGGCCACAGTCCTTCAGAAGTGGCCCCCGCTCGGAGTTCCGACGCTGCTCCGCCCATGCTTTCCCACATGCTCTGGGGAGTCGACGACTGATTGTGTCCGTGTACTTTTTCTCCTCTCCCGAGACTTCTCTTCTTCGGATGTGTGGAGCCTGAGGCTCCAAGACCCTGGTGACAGCAGGTCTAGCCCACCCTGCCCCCCCTGGGTGCCCGTCCCTCCGCCCCCGGCAGGGCGGCGCAGCGCCGAGGGAGGGAGGGGAGCAGGGAGGAGGAGGAGGAGGAGGAGCAGGGAGGGGGAGGAGGAGGAGGAGGAGGAGGAGGAG